GCTGATCATCGGTGCAGACGATGGGCACGGCATCCGACGACTCGCAGACAGTTGGGTATATCCTTGCGGTGACCTCCTTCTTGAGGGCAGGTGATGCGACAATCCCATCTGTGGGATCGACTAAAACCAACCCTTAACCGCCACACTATTCTATCGCAGACTCGTAAGCTGGCCATGCTCAACCCATACCATAGTCTATTACAACCGCTCTTGTCGTCGCCGTCAACCCATTTTATACTCTTCTACACCCTCCTCCTCCTCCTCCTCCCCCTCCTCCTTCTCATCCTCATCCTCCTTTTCGGGTTGAAGACAGTCTGTGCAGCCTTGTGAATCTCTACAAGATCTTGGATTACGTCCCGGCCGAGCGGACATGTGCCCTTTGGTTTGCTCTGCCCCCCCCTTCCCATCTCGTCTAATCCCCTCCGCGCTAGGCTATGCTTCCCTGCTGGTAGGCATTCTTCTATCCATCAATGCAAAAATAAAAAACTACTCATCTTCCTCTGGCTTGCTGTTCCTTGTACTCAATTCTCTATGGTCACAACTTAGCTCCATTCTGAGATTGCAGCAGTTACCCGCCGAAAAGCCAAACGGATTTTTCAGAAAATTTGACAACAATTAAAAAAAAAAAAACGCTAACGAGCCGGATTACAACCCATCAAAATGCCCACCAAATAGCCGGATCACAGCCGGCCAAATAACCGGATTATAACCCATCAAGAAGGTCGGCCAAAAACCGGACTGTAAACCAGCAAAAAAAGCCCGCAAAAAATAGACAGATTGCACCCCGCCAAATAACCGGGCGATGACCCCCTAAACAGCCAGATTATAAACCATCAAAAAGCCCCAGAAATAGCCAAATTATATATAACCCATCGAAAAGCTGACCTAACAGCCGGACTATAACCTGCAAAATAGCCAGATCATAACCCATCAAAAAAGCTGCCAGATGGCTGGATTGTAACCCATCAAAACGGACCCATCTATAACCCGCCGAATAGCCAGATTATAACATGCTAGATAGCCGGATTACAACCCACTAAATAGCCGGATTATAGCCCGCCAAATAGTCCAGTTATAAGTTATAACCCACCAAATAGGCCGCCAAATAGCCAGATGATAACCTGCTAGATAGCCGGATTATAAACCCCACTAAATAGCTGGATTGTAGCCCGCCGAATAGCTCAATTACAACCCACCAAACAGGCCACCAAATAGCCAGATTATAACCTGCTAGATAACCGGGCTATAACCCACTAAATAACCGGAGTATAAGCCTGTCAAATAGCCCAATTATGACCCACCAAATNCCGGGCTATAACCCACTAAATAACCGGAGTATAAGCCTGTCAAATAGCCCAATTATGACCCACCAAATCGGCGGATTATAGCCTGCCAAATAGCCGGATGATAACCTGCCAAATAGCCAGATTATAAGCCACCAAATAGCGAGATTATAATCCGATATTATAGCCTGCAAAATAGCCAGACTATAACGGTATAACCCATCAAAAAGCTTACCCAATAGCTGAGTTATAACCCATCAAAAAGCACATATAACAGCCAGATTATAACCCTCCACATAGCCAGGGTATAACCCAACAAATAGCCAGATTATAACCCACCAAAAAAATGGATTATGACCCCCCAAATAGCCCAATTAAGGCCCCCCAAATAGCCGGATTACGACAGCCTGATTATCACCCACCCAATGATAACCCATCAAGAAAAAAGGCGTCGTTTCTCGAACAACAGACTAGCTAATTCAGCGATGAACGCCCCCCAAATTTCTCTATCGTCCTGGTCGCGAGGATAAGTACGTCCATGAATGTGCTCAGCACCGCCCTTAATAACCGAGCCTCGGCCGACCTAAAAGACACATTAAGCAAACAATCGTTCACGTCTATCTCCCGTAAAACCTTCCCAGGATTTAGCTCCCCGTCCACGATCATCGTATTTCGCACAACGTTCGCATCTTCGTGTGAAGCGTACTTAACTGAGAAAGAACACTTGAAAGGAAACTTGTCTTCCCTGCCATCATACTCAACCACCTCCTCCTTATGTTTTACTCCCACGACCTCCACATGGGCATTGCCCGCGTCATCACCTGTCATTCCTGGGACATCTTCCTTCACATCAGCCATGACTTCTTCCCTCTCTGTCAATCCCATCAATCAATCAATCAATCAATCAATCAATCAATCAATCAACCAATCAATCAAATCAATCAATCAATCAATCAATCAATCAACCAAATCAATCAATCAATCAATCAATTAATCAATCAATTAATCAATCAACCGACCAACCAACCAATCAATCAATCAATCAACCGACCAACCAATCAATCAACGGACCAACCAATCAATCAACCGACCAACCAGCCAATCAAACTGTAGCTGTCTAGATTCATCCGCTATCTTCAGTGCTCCCTCTCTGCCAATCCCATGCAGCTCCAATCAATCAATCAATCAATCAATCAATCAATCAATCAATCAATCAATCAATCAACCAACCAACCAATCCTTCCCTCCCTCCCTCCCTCTCCTTACCCTACCCCTCTTCTTCAAGTGAGCAAGAGGTGGCGGCTAATCCCTTGGATGACAACTTCACACTCAGTCTGGCTGAATTATTTTGCCTGCTCTCTTCTAGACATCGATGGACTGCGGAGCTCCGCCATCTGCCATCTGCGCCTTATGCGCAGCGACCGCTTCATCAAACTTGGCCTGCTTCGAAACTGGCGTTCACGACGTCGCAGATTGACATCAAGCCGACAAGTGCATCATCCTTAAACGCCGCCTTGGCCGACTTTTCCGCACTCCAACGTTGAGCCGGTTGTCGGTGCTTCACACTGCCTGAATTTTTAGTTTGCCCACTCTGTTCTTTCTAGATGTCCATCGCCCGTGGAGCTCCGCCGCCGTCTGCCGTCTTCGCCTTATGTGCAGCAACCGCTTCGTCAAACTTGGTGTTCACGACGTCGCAGATTGACATCAAGTCGACAAGCGCATCCTTAAACACGGCCTTGGCCGACTCTCCCGTCGTCTGCACTCTGATGTTCACCCGGTTTTCTGAAGGATGCGGTACACTGTAGCCACAGAAAGACACGCGCACATCCTTGTTAAGGACGTACCGTAAGGAGTTTGCCAGAGTGTGATCTTCATCGGAGAGAGAGAAGGTGGTAGCACTCAGATCCGTGTCATTCCCCAGCTCGAAGGCCATTTTCGTAATCAACTGTTGAAACTGAAATCAGACACTACAACCATTTAAAAAAAAAAAAAGGAAAAAAAAAAAGAAAAAAAAATCACTGTCAAAATCAATCACCAAAAAAAAAAAGAAAAAAAAAAACAATCAATCACAATAAAGTTGAATAAACTAATTATTTTGATAAATGCTCTGATTATATTCACTTCAATAAGTTCACTTGCTGAAAGCTGAGTAACACTAAAACAAATCACAAAAAAAAAAAAAAAGAAGAAGAAGAAGAAGAAGAAGAAGAAGAAGAAGAAGAAGAAGAAAGAAAAAATATCTTCATCTGCCAAAGTTTGATCTTCGTTCCCCCGCTAGAATGTCATTTTCTTAACGGTCAAAGCTGAGATCAGACATACAAACAAAGAGAAATTAAAAAAAAACGGCTACCAGCCGGGCTGCCCGGGTCACACCTTGTTCGGGTAATGCTGGAAAGCGGGTCCTTTTCTCCCCTGCTGTGTTTTGCTTCTCTTCTTCTTTCTTCTGTTTTTTAACTGTTTTTTTTTTTTTTTTCCTTCTTCTTGTCAGCCTCCCTAGGTCTCCTACAAACAATATCTCAGACGTGATTGGGATCCCATTTCCACATCATATAGATTGCGCTCCAGCACGACCCAGAATCCTGACCTGAAAAAAAAAAATAAGAAGAAGAAAAAAAAAAAAAAAGAAGAAGAAAAAAATAAAAAAAAATCGATATTTGAGTAAAGAAGCCATCCTATTGTTTCAACCAATTGGAATTTAGCTGCAACTTTTCATTTTTATTTTTGCAATAACCCATGAAGTATGCCTCGTGGAATGTCTAAGGGCCTCGCCAGGCCACCACTCAGACCCAGGCCGAAGGGGGGAAACAGAACCCCACGTAAAGATTCAGGGCCTGAGCGGGCGACGATTGACCAAAGTCAACTGCCTGACCCCCAACAGCCAAAGTCAAAGCGTACCCAGCCCAGGCCGCCGGTCAGATGCACACACTTGTTTGTATGCAGGTACCAAGACAGCATCAGGACCAAGTGGAAGTCTGCAACTCTACACAATCCAGGCCCTCGGCTGTGAGTCAATCTGTACGACTGTGGGAGGGAGACCTGGGGCCAGACAGCCTCGTCAAACACTACATAAGGCTTGGTCTCCAGGAGGTCAACATTCAGTCTTGCTATGCTGCCTCGACGCTGGCTTGACTCTAGCTGGTCGCTGCCTTGACGCTCGCTGGACGCTGGCTGGACGCTGGCTCAACGCTGGCTGTGCGCTCGTACTGCGGACGACGACGCGGGACTGTGGCAGCATGCTGCCGCCTTCTCTACTGAGCGCCAGCCTCTGCTGATGTGGCGCATGCCACCTGTCTGCATTGTTGATGTGGTGCATGCCACCTGTCTGCATTGCTGATGTGGCGCATGCCACCTGTCTACATTGCTGATGTGGCGCATGCCACCTGTCTACATTACTGATGTGGCACATGCCACCTGTCTCTATTGCTGACGTGGCACTGGCCACGCTGTCTACATGAGGTGATTGGTCGCGACAAGGAGGGAGATCGGGATCTGTGGACGATCGAGGAAAGGGGTACTCACCTGAGGTTGACGTCGACATTGCGTGCTACGGATTGTCTTCATTGTCTCCATTGGAGAATGGTGCCACGTGGCACTTCTATGCGATCAGGACTTATCAGACTTGTGACTGCATATTGATTGCCGACGTGGCGGCAAGGGGAAGCCCGGAGAAGGAGTGGATAATGTTTGGGCTACTCTCTTGTGGTCACTGATTATCTCTCCACCTTCTCATCTGTCTATTCCCCCTCCACTCTGGGTCTACTTGTACTTCGACGCACACGAGTATCCCCCTGCATGCTTGTAATGTTTCGTCTTATCAGTGACGAGACATTGTATCAGATATCACTTTCACGATTACCAAAGACATTGTGCAGTTCTGAGTCTACTTGTACTTCGACGTCTGCCGAGTATCTCCCAGCCTGGGTTCATTACATTTTTATTTTTCCCCCTTTTATTCACCGTTCTGTATCTACCTGTCATTACTCCTCAGGCCATACAGGTGAAATCAGACTTGTCGCAAACTCGCTTCCAGCATGCATGCAAACAGATGACGAACACGAACCGGCGCCGTGCGCCCGCACAAAGCTCAAAGATAAGAACGTGGCGTGGCAGGAACACAGATCCGATTCAACTTGTCTTGAACAGCTATGGCGCCCGGCGGCTGACAAAAATTCCCTCCCAATCGATCATCTTTATCCACCAGCAACTTGTTCACACACACACGCACACACTCCGACAATACCATCTTCACCCGAATAGAACGCCCGGTCATTACAGCTGCATTTGGCACAACTTTTGGTCCAGATGCAGCGATAATGACCAGGCATTCTATTCGGGTGGGTGAAGACGGTAATTAGAATCACCCTGAATGTCCCTCACACACACAGTGAACACACTCCCTACTCTATCAAACAGACTCGATCATGCAAAACACGGCGGGACGCCCATCTATGTGTTTGATGATTGATTTTCAAGAGTTTCTATGGAATCAACTACATGCCAGCTATGGCTGCCGTCTCTCTCCTATACCGAACTGGCGGCTATGGCCGCTCCTCCCTTCTCCTAGCCCTGTTCTCCCTCTGGCAACTGCAGACCTCCGATGCACAAGTCCCTCGGACAGCGCTTCCGCACGGCTCACACAGGCAGAATGCATGAAGGACTTGACGCTACCTCTTTATTTATACTCGTTTCGTCGGTGGTCTGGCCTCTTGGCCCGGGCCCAGAATATGCACAGTCCCACTTGGTTCTTGCTGACTGTACTACTAGGTGAGGACTGCGACTGGCTACTGCTGACTAGACTACCTTCTTCCACCGAATACAACGTATGGTCATGATAGATGTATTTAGACTGAAAGATACCCCAAATTCAGCTATAATGACCGTACGTTGTATTCGGGGGAAGACTGTAGGATAGGACTGGGACTGCCCTTTGCTGACTAGACTAGGACTCCCCTTTGCTGACTCAGCCACGGACTGATCCTTTAGACCCTACGAAGGGACACTTCCGATACTTCGAGAAGGTCCTCGTCTAGGTAGGACTTGACCTTTCGGGACTGTAGCAGCTACTACTTAGACTGACCCTACGACTACTAACACTAAAGTCTACAGATCGAGTCCGCACGACTCGACCAAACTAGGTACAGTGTCCTTCGGGACATCCGTAAAAATTGGAACGATGCAGAGAAGATTAGCATGGCCCCTGGCGCAAGGATGACATGCATAAACCGAGAAATGGTCCAAATTTATTATTAAAAAAGAAAAAGAAAAAAAAAAACCTAGGTACAGTAGTCAAACATACGACTTTTCTGGGACAGGTCGCGGGTTCAACTCACACAAGGGTTAGTGGTACTGTACAAGTGTAGCAGGTAGGTAGGTATAGGGATCGAACCCTGAGGAACTGTGCCTGTTACGCCACGTAGGTGGAGCCGTTTCACAGGAGACCTCAATTTAGCCGTGGGTCAGAGAAGGGGGGGAAAAAAAACGCACCTAATAAAACGTACGGGGTACGTTGTATTCGAATACAATGCACGTGGTACGTTATACAACGAGTTTTAGGGTACAACTTTGCAGGAGCCTGTAGTACCAAAGTCAGTTTTTTTTTTTTTTTTTTTTTTTTTTTTCGAATTTGGTCGGGGATTTCTCCAAGACCCTTAGGCCAAAAAAAAAAAAAAAAAAAAAAAGGTCCAGGGTGTAGTAGAGCGTGGATGCCAGGCCGCCTCAGGACGTGCCCGTGGTACTCTCATCCATTGGGAGGGGTCAGATGGATTGCGAGGACCCCGAGGGGAGTCGCCTCAAGGTGCCACCATGATGCCATGACCTATACGCTAATGCTCACATCACAAGCCGTGGTTGTGATCTACGCCAACGATTACCAGACTGACCCGAACGTCTTCTTCTCGTGCAGATACTACCCTAAGGCTTGGACCCCACTGGCTGGCGGTAGCTGGCCGCCAGCCTTCGGAAGAAAGGTTTTGAGACCCCACTGTTGGCGGCAAACGCAAGCACTTTTGTTTCCACTCTGCCTACCTCCGCTGCTTTTATAGCACACCAACCAACCAATCCAATCCCCATGCCTCCTTTCTGCATGGAATGTCTGGTACGCTGGCCAACGCCGGGAGCCCGCCAGCATATACGAGCCATCCCATGCGGGAAAGGAGGCACGGGGATTGGATTCGTTGGTTGGTGTGCTGAAAAAGCGGAGGCAAACTTTGCCCGAAAAGGCAAGTCTTCCTGATCGGGTAACAGAACCCCCGGGAAGTGCCAAAAATTGTGCCAAAAATTGCTGTGGCAGTGGAGTCCCATTTCGCTTGCCCATTCCCGTCGGCTCCGATCCGTGCCGGCGGATGCTCTACAGGCCGCCACCAGCTACCGCCAGCCAGTGGGGTCCCTCCCTAACTCTAATCTCTAATGTTAAGGACGACCCGGGCACAGGTGGGGTCCACGTATATACGGTCATCCCCCCTCTGTGCCTCATCCGGCAGACTCTATGGGCAGCGAACCACCCTTCTACCAAGATGCGATATCCCGCCCTCCCCTATCCTAAGCATAATGCCTTTCCCTTTTTTTTTTTTTCTTTTTTTCTTTTTTTAAACACCGCCCTCCCCTATCCTAAGCATAATGCCTTTCCCTTTTTTTTTTCTTTTTTTTTTCTTTTTTTTTTTCTTTTTTTTTTTCTTTTTTAAACACCCCCTTCGGTGCTAGTGGTGCTGGTAAGAGCAGACACCGCTAGCACCTGATGCCTTTCCTACCCAAGGCTCCCCAAGGATTCACAATTCCAACTAATTACCCCCATGAGAATTCCCATGGTCACCAACCTGGATGAAAAGCACCACCCACAGTCATCGTGAGATACCCGTGGGATGAAGTGGGGGATGAAGAAGTGCCCAGCCCCTACCTCGTAC